CAGAATCAAACATTGTCGGGAAAAGGGAAACTCAGTGGCTAGAGATCACTCCATTGTTGTGGAAAGCTTTCTTTGAGGCTAATGGTACACACCACCCCTTCACTCATCACTAGTGCTCACCACTAGGTCTGGATCATTTTATTACGTACTGTATAATAAACAATGTCCAAATGGCAGAAGCAGAACAACACTGCACTCAGCAATGTCGTTACAAGCCCACCTATGTGTTAAGATACAAATGGATAGTTGAGCCTCAGAGACAACAATGCATCTTTAATCAGTTCCGAAAATTTCAGAAATCATCTTTCAACAAGATATAAGCTATGCATCCTTTGATGTGCCAATGCATGCCTAATGTCAAGTTGCTTAGCAAGGATATTCTTACCAGCCACTCAGCTGTGTTTGTGTTAGTGCAAATATTTATCAAATCCCCACTTTCAAATACTTACTTAAAACAGGACCTCTTTTCTAAAGTATCTTATGTTGCTTTCCTGAAGCTCCATTTATTTTGCATTTGTTTTTCATCATTTTCAGTATTCAAGCATTGTTGAAATGGCTCACCCTTGGTTGCCCCTGAAAAGATGGTGATGGGCCATCTTCCAGAACCAGTGCAGTGCATGCAATGAATGTAGTTACCTCGCTCTGTTAAAGCAGGGAGCTGCAGGATTTCATGATGAAAGTAAATTAGTTAAATTCCATTTCGATAGTTTAGCCGGAATAGATGGTTGTTATGGGCAGGTACGCTTTGAAATGCAAGAAAGTGCTAATCTGAAATGAATGACCAACTAATTAGTTAAATCAATATGGAACTACAGAATTCATGACTAATGAATGAGTAGTCTTACATTTTCATTAGCCTCCTAACTAGTAAGAAAAATCAATTATCTCATCCAAATTTATTATGTGAATCAATAGCAGACCAAATTACGAATCACTTAGATAACTGTACAATATCATTAACTCAAATTAAAAATGGTCCTCATCCAAGCACAGAATTATATGGGGCAAGTAATTTTCCATTCATTTTTATTGTACAAAATTCTAGATCCTGTACAAATAATACAGGTATTAATCTGTTTGTGCAAAATTCTTTTGCCTAAGGCATTTGTTTATTAATTTTAAATTCATAAATAACTTTGTCTTAATAACAGAAGTGTCAGATATTTGCATTGGCTATGATGAGTGTGATTTCATCACTTTAAACATCAAGTCTTAATTTAAGGGTGAGATAATTTTAAGCATTTCTGCTCTGTTAACATGCCTTGATGTCCATGATATGTATCTGCATATTTGTGTGTGTGTTTGCATGTATGCGTGTGTGTGATGGTTAGATCGAAAATTTACATAAAACACACAATGACAAACTACCTATCTAACAATTAGACCTAATTATAAATGGCAGAATGTGTGATTTAGCTCAAAACATTTGACTTATACTGCCACTGGAACTATCATGATCTGAAACTGGAGATTCCAAAATGGTATATGCACCACCAACAAAGCCCACACTCATCACTGGTGATATTTACAGAGAGATTCTTTTGACTTACAGTTACTTTTACAACATATCATAGAATCAGAATCCCTACAGTGTGGGAAGAGGCCCACTGAGTCTGCACTGATCCTCCAAACGGCATCCCACCAAAACCACAACTCTACCTATCCCCGTAACCCTACATTTACCATGGGCATTCCACCTAACCTGCACATCTTTGGACTGCACGAGAAAACCGGAGCACTCAGCGGAAACCCAGGCAGACATAGGGAGAATATGCAAACTCCACACAGACAGTTACTCGAGGTAGGACTCAAACCCCGGTCAGTGGCGCTGTGAGGCAGCAGTGCTAACCACTGTGCCACCATGCCACATGGATTTGTGGGAGTCCTGGGAGGAAGTTCTTGGAGGCATTGTGATGAGTTGTTGGATTTGGAAGGGAGTGTTGTTGCATCATGACAGTCAGAACAGAGATTTCTACCAGATGTGATGAGAGCCTGCTCCCATTATCGAGGCTACGCTGCAGTTCCCCATGATGCATGATACAATAGGAACATGGAACAGAGGTTGCAGAGAAGGCAAGCTGTGTACAGAAAGATAAGGAGTCAGGCTTTTCATTGAAGCTGCACCAACCTTTTACAGAACTTATTTCCTGCCTTCAGTTCAATTGGGAGCAATGTCTGAAAATGTAAGAAGTTGATCACTGAACTTTGCTACCTTTTCAACAGAACTCAGTGCCAAGCAAGAGGGTGAAGGCAATGCTGCCGCGGTTACCATCGTCCTCCACTTCTACAGAAGCAGATCATTCCAGGCAGGAGGAACCTACCACATTTTTTGTGAAATTTCTGTCGACCCTTTTGGAGACCAGTTTTGCAAGATTTGATAAGGTCTTCTCTGTCTCCATTGCCATTAGTCCAACAAAATGTAAACTTTGCAAGAAAATTCCCTGCATTAATTGTTTCTAGCAATATCAATGAAGCACTCTAGGACATTTCACCATTTTGCCAGAAGGAGGAAATCTTCCACAGTTTCCTCAGCCCAACCAACACAGAATGAAGCCAGGCCATCTTCCACCGTGATGACATTTCCCTCCAAAGGAATGAAAGGCACAAATCTGATTTGCATTCAACCCTGACAGACACCCTGAAGTCCAACACTCTTATTGTGCTAAAAGTTTAAAATAATGGGATTGAAAGCAGGAGGATGCGTATATGTATTTTTTTTCTCTATATATATTACCTCACTTCCTCTGGAGGATTTCCTTAAACTTGTCTTGCTTCATAGATGGTGTCTTTGCTGTAAGACTAAGATTGTTTAAGTGATTACTGTGCATAACTTGAGAATTCATGGACGTCAAGGAACCTGATGTTGGCTTAAGTCTGATTAGTTCGCTCGCTCATGCTGCTATCAAAAATCAGCTTTTAAAAAATATCTGCGCACTCATGGCAGTAAGAAAAAAAGACGTGCATCTCTATAGATCACCCTATCTGGGATACTTCACTACTTAAACTGGGTAATAAAATTACACGGATAAGCTTCCATGAGGCTATCAAGACTAAGCGTGAAATGACACAATATTCAGCACCTGTTACATTGATAACAACAGTGTTACAGTGTGGTGTCAGGTTAGAAGGGGCTTCACTAATGTGTTACACTTCCCTAGCAGTCCCAGAGTTGCTATCAACTTAAGAAAAGCACTGCACATAAATGAGCCTTAGTTGCAAGCAGGGAATTACAAGGGGATCATTTTGACTTTGGCCGATGGTGTTAAGTGTATGGTGATGGCTCATTCACCCATTAAAAATCTCTCTCAGCTTTGGTCTCTGTCGACTTTGGTGGAGAACAAAATCAGAAGCCTTGTCTACCAGAACACTACATTGATATTGTACACTTTACACTTATTAGCCAGAGTTAAAATTAGCCTGAGTGTGGACAACACACTGCATAGAAATTAGATTATGCCACATCTATTTTTCAAATATGGAACACGTCTTTAAGCATCTGATAGCAGGCAACATTTGCATGCCTTGTTTGTTCAGTAAATGCCCAGAGCATGTACCAGAACTATGCAAAGGCATAACTGTAGAGGTTAATTCAGGGTGCTGTGTTGGTTGCAGGACCCTTTTGTGAAATTGGTCTGCCTCAGCACATGCTTTGTCACATGTTAAACTTAACAAATTCTTAAACTTAGCAAATACCTCAAGAGCCTCTCCTGATAGCTCTTTCAGTGCTTTGGTGACAAACATTGTCGGATGCCACTTCTGCGAAGTTCCTTGGCTCATTTTGTGACGTTGTAAGTGCTATATAAATGAACGCTCTTGTCTCTGAGTCAATTAGATAGAATCATTTAAAATACTCTTTTACTGAAAACAAACTCTTTTCAGTTTCTTTTAACAGTTTTTCGCTGGTTTTATTTTTCTTTACCAAATAAACTCCTAACATGAATTTTAAAATTCAGATAAAGGTTACGTTACAATAAAATGCAGTGGTGCCTGAGCCACCTTTAAAAAACGTAGTTTCATATTCCATCTCTATCTCAGACAGATGCACATAGAGAGATGAGAACTGGGTATTTGCCATTTAGTATGAGGGAGAAGTGAATATGAGGTAACAGGCTATTTCCACAATTTGTGCTTTACCTTCACCTTTGAAGTATTTTTAAAGCAAACCACAATCCACCAAATTGTTGTAGTGAATGGCATTTTCTGTATATTCTACCTCACTACGAAGCCTCAAGACAGTCCCCTGCACTGTGGACAATGTTTTCCAGGGACAAAGATATTGAATATGCAGTATTTCGTGGTCCTGTTTAATGCTTGTGTTGAGATTAATTTGTGATTTGAGTGCTGTGCAATTAATTGCTGTTTGCAATGCAAGTAATTGCTTCTTATCAATTACTGGTCGTATGAATTTAATTTTAATCCCACTTCATAGCATCTTGCTTATTTCCAGTGTTTCTTCATTTTCTCTGTCCCCACACATTGTTAGCGCAACCATCTGAAAAAGACTTAAAATGGTTGTGCATCAAAAAGAGTCTGTAACATGCTTTGGTTTTCCATGAAGGATATTGTAGTGATTGAAACCAGGTGAATCTCATTGACTGGGTTGTTAACCTGGTTCAATCAGGGAGCCCTGGCTGACAGATATAAACAGGAGATTCAGAAGGTCTCTTCAGACTAGGGGTAGGCTTTGAGCTGGCTGGTCAGAGCATATGTACTGTACACATGTAAATTAAGAGTGATTTGGTGATGGGACGTCGGCAGTTATTTCAGATACCATTGGAAGAGTAAGTGTCATTCAGTTTTTCTTCAATTGCCTCATATGTGCATCAATTCCTTATCTAAGAAAGTAAATAAATAAAACCTCAGAAAGTTATTATAACCAGGCAATAAATTTATAACATGGATTGAGTTATTTTTGAAGAGGAATAGATTAGATTAATTCCTAGAAATGTCAGTTATTTTATTTCTGAATTAAATCGTCTCTTTTCTCTGCTTGATCACAGCCTACATTTTACAAAGCATTGGCTGGGTCACAGGTCATGCTGAGCAGCTTAGTGAACCAGGCACGTGCCATGCTGGATGAACAAGCCCGGCATCTACTTAATGAACATGAGCGAAAAACTATGGGTTACTATCTTGATGAGTACAAGGAAAACAATGTAACTGTTCAGGCTCTGGTTATGGCCCTTTTCGAACTCCTAAACACACACGCAAAGGTACGTTATTGAAAGCTCTTCATACTGTGATTTTCTAGCAAGCACGTTGACAAACAGAACTGGCCTTTGTTCAGTCACCACTTCAGCAAAAAGTTATCATAGAATCCCTACAGTGTGAAAACAGGTTATTCAGCCCAGTAAGTCCTCACAACCCTCTGAACAGGACATCCCACCCTACTGTAAACACATAACCCTACATTTCCCATGGCTAGTCCACCAAACCTGTCCATCTTTGGACCACGGGAGGACACCAGAGCAAACCCACACAGACACAGGCAGAATGTGCAAACTCCACACAGAGACAGTTTCCTGAAGGTGGAATTGAACCCAGGTCCCTGGCAATTAGAGGCAGCAGTGCTAACCACTGAGCTACCGCTGAAGTTAGAAAAGAGCCCATTTGGAGGCTTACATGGGTTAACATCATTGTCTGATTTAGAAAACGTGTGAATTTCACTTTGTTTAAATAACAACAATGCAAAATGAGCAAATAAATTACAATTAAAATCAAATCACCCACTACTGCTCTTGATAAATTCCAATGTTGTGGCTAAAGGCAGAATACTATGGATGTTGGAAATCTGAAACAAACACAGAATGCTAGAGAAATTCGGCAGGTCTGGTAGCATCTGCAGAGATAGAAACAGAGCTAATGTTTCAAATTCAGAATGACTCCATCTCTGAAGAAGTTTTACTGGACTTAAAATGTTAATTGGGTTTCTCCAACATTCTCTGGATTCATTTCCAATGTTCTAGGCCTTGAGCACACATACTTGTAAATTCATTAAAATTTTGCCTGGGCCTCTAGAACATGCACCTCCTATTGAAAGCAGGATTACATGTTGCTTCTTCAGTTGATTATGGCTGGGGACTACTTCTACTTGCAGAAAAGCTAGTTCTGCATCAAACAAATTCATGCATTAATTGGTCATGTAAAAAGAGCCTGGACTGGGGTGCTCTTAGTTCCATCTCTTTATGAAAATTAATGCAAGCAGTCACAAGGAAAATAGTAACCATATGCTTCCCCTGTGTTTTGTAATGAAGATTATTTTAAAAGTAGTTTGAAAAGTATTGGGTTCATTTGAAAATAAAGAGAGAGCCTCACTTCTATAATTCACTTCACATTTTCTCTGACGACTGTAATAAATTCTTTGGAGTAGATAACAAGATAAAAGAAAATCAGGGGAACTGGCTGCACAGTCAGTGCTGTGCATCTGTGAAAGGAGACAGGAGCTGAACAACAAACTAAAACGTTTCTTTAAAGAGATACCTTCACAGAAACAGAACTGTCAAATTGAATTTTTATAAACTGATCCCAAATAAAGTAACATCACATTTGAGGATTATTGGAGGGCAGATAAGACATGATCCAAAATATGTTCCTGCCGGTCTTGCTTTTCTTCTCTTTTTGAGCATTCAATGGTCTGTCCGTAACTTCTGAGGAGGAGCAAATAGCATATCTTAAGTGTTATTGTGCCGAATTGTTTTGATGGGATTTGCTCTGGGATGGGGGATTCCTGTTTTAAATTCAAATGAAAACAAGTATGAGCACACTATTGTGGGCAAAACAGTAAGGGCTGGACAAAACTCATTTGCCATCAGTCAGCATTAAATTCTAGTGTGTGTGAATCTATATCTGCCTATTCCTGGTCAACTCAAATCGCTCTGTATTTCCTACTTGACAACATTGTGAGTGCATCAACACCACTTTGACTGCAGCAGTTCGAGGAGATAGTCCATTTCCACCACCTCATGACACCCGAGGGTGGATGGGCAAAGCAGTGAGGCTGGCATTTGTCATCTCCCTAGAATATATTTGAACAAATGGGCAATTTTGCAAAACTGTGCTGCCAGCACACAGCAGGTACAAAAGGGCTGCAACCCCGGTAGTTGTCCAAACTGCTGTGGAGTTCCACAAAATAACTCCTCAATTGAATTCGTTTCCATTGAATATACTTCCGGCTTAACCAAACTGGCTCACTGCAAGAGTTAGTTAGAGAAAGGGTTGATAACTCATCTCTAGTTTGCAATCTCATCTTTGATAAACCACACCAGCACTGCAGCCTTACGAAACTATTCCTTGTCTGTGAATCTAGACAAGTTGAATGTGTGGGCTAACACATGACAGATGCTGTATAATGTGGCTAAACATGAATTTATAAACTTCAGTGTGGAAAACAGAAAGACGGAATGTTATCGATAATTACATATTAGGAAATGTGGATGTGCAATGTGATGTGGGTGTCCTTGCTCACCAATTTTAAAAAAAAAGCAACCAGGCATTTGCAGCAAGCAGTTAGAAGGCAAATGGTATGTTGACCTTCATTGCAGGAGGTCTTGAGTTCAGGAGTAGAGATGTCTTACTGCAGTTATACAGCGCTTTGATATTTCTGCACCTGGCGTATTACTGTGTACAGTTTTAGTCTCCCTACCTAATAGACAATATATTTGCCATAGAGGGAGTGTGGAGGTTCACTAGGATGGTACTGGGGATGGCAGGACTGCTTTGTGAGGAGAATTCGATTTGACTGGGTCTGCAATCACTAGAATTTATCTGGATGAGAGGGGATCTGATTGAAACACATACAATTCTAACAGGGCTAAACCTACTAGATGCAGTGAAGATGTTTTCCTTGACTGGGGAGTCTAGGAGTGGGTCACCGTCTCAGGGAATGGGGTAGGCCATTTAGAACTGAGAAGAGGAAACATTTCTTCACTAAGAGGGTGGCCAACCTGTGGAATTTGTTACCAAATAAGACAGTAAAGAGGCCAGGTCACTATGTATATTTAAGAAAGACGTTGATTCTTTTAGATATTAAAGGCATCAAGGGGCATGAAGATAAAGTGGGAAGGTGACATTGAAGTAGAAGATCAACCATGACCATATTGACGAACCGAGTAGGTTTGAAAGGCTGAGTGGCCTACTCCTGGTCCTGGTTTCTACGTTTCTATGAATACACAAAACAGAACATTTCACAGTAGCAGCAGCAGAGCTGTTCCCCACCTGGAGGCAGAAGTTGGGAATTTATATGCCTGCCCTTCATCGTTTTTTTCACCTATTATGAATAGGCAGGGAATAGAGGGATACGGACCACTGAAATGCAAAAGGTTTTTAGTTTAGAAAGGCATGATGTGTTGGCACAGTTTTAGTGGGCCAAAGAGCCTGTTCTTGTGCTTATTCTTTAACCTTGACAGTAGGATGATTGGTGGGACTAAACACCAGAATTTTCCAAAGTAAAATGCAGTAGGTTGTGGAAATCTGAAATAAAGTCAGATAATGCTGGAAAATACTTTGCAGACTTGAGCAGCATCTGTGAATAGGGAACTAGATATAACCTTTCAGGTTCAATAACTTTCACAAGATCAGATCAGTTTTTGAGGGAGGGCACAACCTGACATGATAACTCTTGTTTCTTTCTCCACTGGTGTGACCCGCCACGCCGAGTGTTAGGACCCTACAGTGCAGGAGCAGGCCATGCAGCCCATCAGGTCCACACAGACTCTCCAAACAGCATTTCACCCAGACCCGCCACCCCACCCTATCCCTGTAACCCATGGCCAATCCACCTGACCTGCATATCTTTGGACTGTGGGAGGAGACCCATGCAGACACAGGGAAAACGTGCAAACTCCACACAGCCAGTCACCCAAGGGTGGAGCCAAACCCAGGCCCCCGGCACTGTGAGGCAGCCTTGCTAACCACTGTGCCACCCATGTTTTCCAATGTTTGCATGGACAGCTTTATCTTCATTGTTGACATTGTCATCTTTATAGACCCAGCAATGCTGTGCTATCTACTCCCACAATTTCCTGCTCTTCAGTTTCTTGAACATCTTGCAGGGCAAGAGATTAGGTGGGCAGCCATGTTTTGATCATTATTCCTGACACCTTCAACAAGAATAAAACAGAGAATGCAGGAGAAACTCAACAGGCCCGGCACCATCTGTGGAGTTATCATTTCAGGTCCAGTATGACCCTATTTTAGAACTAAAGAGTAGTCATATCGGACTTGAAACATTCACTCTATTCATCTCTCTGCAGATACAGCCAGACCTCTGGATTTCTCCTGAACTTTCTGTTTTCTTTCAGATTTCCAGCACCTGCAGTATTTTGATTTGAGCTTGATTAAGAATTTCTTTTTCTTTTATCATGGGATGTGGACATCACTGGCTAGGCCAGCATTTATTGCCCATCCCTAATGACCTGGAGGGCAGATTAGAGTCAGCTACATTGCTGTGGGTCTGGAGTCATGTTTGTGTAAGCCAGACCAAGCATGGATGACAGATTTCCTTCCCATTGGTGCATTAATGAACCAGATTTAAGTTTATGACAACCAATATGGTTATCATCAGCCTCGTTTTTTATTCCAGATTTGCATTGAATTCCAATTTCACCATCTGTCATGCTGGATTCAAACCCATGTTTCAGGAGGCTGGGTTTCTGGATGACAAATCCAGTGACACAACTACTACTCCATCATCTCCCCTTAGTGCCTTGGCCCATGAGGTGGAAGTAGCAATAGCCTCAAATCTCCGGAGTAACACATCAGAGCATTATGAATAAAGTGCTCTTTTAATTTTCTAGCACAATCTCTCGAGGTGGGATTTTAGATTGGCAGAAGTTATCTTACTCAAATTTAATTCTTAGATATTGAGGGTCATGTATTCATAACCCCTCTCCTGGTTTTAGAGCTGTGTCCTGTAGGAGTGCAAATGGAATATTCAGGCATAAATTGTTGACGTTCTCCTGATCCAATGTGTAAAATTGCACTGCTGAAGTGAATAAAAAAAGGATGAAGTAAAAATTCCACAAAGAGTTATATTGTGACACATTAAGACAATTGTGAGATTTAGAAAGCTACAGCTTTCACTTTGGCAATGCTCGTACTGCACATTCAACATTTTAAGCCTGTTCTTTATTTTTTTTTAGTTCTCCTTGCTAACAGAGGTTCGAAGTGTAATCTCACCTCCAGATCTGGACAGATTTGATAATATGGTGTTGAAACGTGAGATTGAGTCAATGAAAGCTCGCCAGAATTCCAGCACAGGCACGGATTCCTACTCTGTCGTGTCTTATGGAGACACAGCCTCATCCTCCGTTAGTTACTTCACATCTACAACTCTCAGTTCAGCCCGGGTAAGTGCCCACAATAAGGCGAATCCACGGCTTAATGGTATGTCTATTATAAGATTCTTCAAAGCTGACCTGCTAAAATACATAGAATTTCTGATGTAAACACTTGCTGTAATGTTTTATATATTAATGTTGAACAAAGTATCAAATCCAAATGTTGACTCGATGAAGTAATCATTCAATATATCCTTGGCTGGTCTGGTTGGAGACAGTCATCGAAAGAAGGCAGATATTGTTTAAAATTCAAACCAAAAATCAAAACTATTCTGAAATTAGCCGTATTTCCCTCAAACTGATTTTAGTCGAACAAAATCAGAGGGTTTGGATCAAGCTTTGGGTTTGGTGGCTTGTGCCTCACAGATATCACTATTGGATAGTCTGAGCAAAGTCTGTTTGCTCCATCCCAATGATATTTCTTCCCAATCCATAGCTTGCAGTAACCATTAGTCTTTCCCACTCCTAGCTCATACCCTCCATCATTCCATCAACATCCGCAATTTATTCTAGGACTTGGTTCATTCATATTTCTGGCATAATCAAATGTAATTAATCATTACTTTTCCAGTCAATTCTACCCACTTCCATTAGCAAACATACTTACATCAGAGCATTAATGTTATGAACATGTTTACATTGAAGACCTTGCTCCACCTCAAAATTAAGAATTGGTCTGGAGAAACCAAATGAACTTTGTTGCAATGACGTCAATAAATTGAGAGAGATGTAAAGCAGGTTTTCAATTGCCCATCAGCCATTGTGTATTGTTCCACAAGTTTGCGACCCAGCCCATTATGACAGCAAGTCTGATCAAACTTGCTGCAAAGCCCACTACTTCAGCTTTTCAAGTTGAAATTATTGTAATGTACATTTTTTCAGTGAAGCTTCAGAACAACTGTTCTGTCAGCTTGTGATTGGCCAGAAGCCATAATATGCATCAGCGCAGCTGGTGTATGTCATGGCAGAGCAGAAATCCCTGCAAAAAGCAGGAAAATGACTAACAAATCTGGTATTTCATTTTCATTTGCATTTATATAGATGGAAAAATTGATTTTTCGCAGGAGACTGGGGCTTTGCTGTTACATTTTTGGCATCAAAGGAAATACAACAGCAGATGGGTTTTTTGTGAAAAGTTCAGATTTGCTTATTTCCTGATGTAAAATTATCTTCACTCTTGTTCACTTGTCTGGAGCACACTTTTCTGAAAATAAGCCTGAATTGGAACATTACTTATCTCCCACTTTGTTCTAGATTTTTTAAAAGTATAATCATTGCCTTGTCTTCAAGTGCATTTTGCAGGATGATGCTATCATTGGTTGCATATTGTGTCTTTGAGCTAATTTTTTTTGTGTTCCTTCTGTTTCGATTGAAATATGATTATTGCAGGAGCGCCTGTTATGGTTAATAGACCTTATGGAGGTACAGCTTTTTCTGTGTGTGATCTCAAGTGATGTGGTTTCCATAGTAAAGGGCTCATTATGCTGAGTGCCGTGGAGCTGCTTTTGTATGCAGCAGATCTTGTTTGTCATTGATAACTAGCCCATCTTTTGTTTTTAATGAGTTTGTCTCCGTGTGGAGTTTGCATGTTTCTTTTGTCAGTTTGTGTTTTTCTTTGTTCTGTTCAGGAATATATCTGTTCATGATAAATGGACATAGATCCTAACACAACATACAGTTGCTCAATTAAAAACGTGGCCCAGAGTTTGCTGCAATGGTGTAAATAGTCAAAGTGAGATTGCCTCATCTCCCAGTGGTTCTGTGAAGCAAAAGTACAAGCAGATTATTGTATTACCATACATAAGGGCATGAGCAGCTCAACTAAGGTTTCCTGGAATCTGTGTATCCAGTCTGTCCTTATAACTCAAACCCTCCAGTCCTGACAACACCCTTGTAAATCTTTTTGGAACCCTCTCCACACAATGTTATCAGGGAGCAAGACATTGAAAAACTTTGTCCCCTCATCGCAATTTTTGAACCATACAAGCAATGCATCTTAAAACATCATTCTCGAAAAATCTTCAAAGTGTGAACTGAATTTCCTGCCCATTAATTTTTGACACTGAATCGCTTTCATGCAAGGCAGCTTAATGAAGCTATTCTGAATTGTAATATTCTCCATAATTTGTCTTCTCACAAAACGGAAGTGTAATATTAAACCTCCATCTGTGTGATACATTTGTGATGGCAGCTTCAGAATATTCTGGCACTTTTACAGCTTTCAACAATTATTTTCCACGTTTTCCAAAAACATGATATCAAATTTCTTCTAAAGATTTTATATTTTCTACTTTCCTTCTTAAAATCCTGTGCTGTTCATTCTCTTTTATATGTAGTAAATGTTCAACATTTGTCTATATGTAGTTGAGGCTATACTTCAAAGTATTTTGTGACTTGAAGAGTACTTGAAGATTGCTTCAAAAAGACACCATATAACTGTACCTTTTTTGTATGCGGAGAGGAAGGACATGAGGTGGGAAATGTCACATACTGCATACTTTGAAACCAGTTTAAAATATGTCATGCTCTGAAAATCATTCTCATTATTGCCGTAGCCATAAGCCACCTTTTCAACTGAGAACAGTACATTGTTGCTTGAAACCATATAGTGTATACTGAGTGGTATCCCCACAACCCAAGCAGCTATTCATATAGAGTCAAGGAATCGTACGGCATGGAAACAGATCCTTCGGTCCAACTCATCCATGCTGACCAAGTTTCTCAAACTTAACTAGCCCCATTTGCCTGTGTTTGGCCCATATCCATCTAAACCTTTCCTATTCATGTACCTGTCCAAATGTCTTTTAAATTTTGTAACTGTACCTGCATCTACCACTTTCTCTAGCAGTTCATTCCACATATAAACCAGCCTCGGGTCTCTTTTAAATATTTTACCTCTCACCTTAAAAATATGTCCCCTAGTTTTGAGATTGTAAGAACTTTTGATGCTGGAGTCAGAGATAACACAGTGTGGAGCTGGAGGAACACAGCAGGCCAGGCTGCGTCAGAGGAGCAGGAAAATTGACGTTTCGGGGCGGGACCCGTCTTCAGAAATGGGACCCTTCTGAAATTTCTGAAGAAGGGTCCCGACCCAAAACATCAAGTTTCCTGCTCCTCTGATGCTGCCTGGCCTGCTGTATTCCTTCAGCTCCATACTGTGTTATCCCCTAGTTTTGAACTCCCCTACCCTAGGGGAAAAACCTATCCACCTTATCTATCCCCCTCATGATTTTATAAACATCTCTAAGGTCACCCGTCAGATTCCTATACTCCAGTGGAAAAAATCCCAGCCTATCCAGTTTGTCCTTATAACTCAAACCCTCCAGTCCTGACAACACCCTTGTAAATCTTTTTGGAACCCTCCAATTTAAATATTTCCTTCCTATTAGCAGGGTGAGCAGAACTGTACACAGTATTCCTCACTAATGTCCTATACAACTGCAACATGACATCCCAACTCCTTTACTCAATCGTCTGAGCAATGAAGTCCTGCGTGCTAAATGCCTTCTTAACCGCACTGTCGACCTGTGTCACAACTTGCAAAGAACTATCTACCTATATATTCTATGTACCTATCTATATATAACTATATGTTTGCAAATTAAAATACTGTGCGTGCTGGAGATCTTAAATTAAAACAGAAAGTGCTGGAGGAGTTCAGCAGGTTGGCCTAACAGCATCTGTGGGGAGGGAAACAAAGAACATTCTTCAGATCTGATGAAAGATTATCAACTTGCATTAACTCTATTTCTCTCCATAGATTATGTCTCATCTGCTGGGTTTTACAAGCTGGTTTTGATCTTATTTCAGATTTCTAACACCCACAGTAATTTGCTTTAGGATAATTTTTTAAACTGAACCATTTATCATTGCGTATTGATCATGCGTAGGGTTTTGGATCACTTCTCCTTGGTGATGTGACTGAAGAAAGAAAATGAGCAGGGCACTGGAAGTGCTCGCTTTCTTCCCCAAGATGTGCAATGACAACATTCAGATCCATATTAACCATTGGTACAAGCCCATGGAGCCTTGATTGAACACCTTATTTGAGAGTCAGAAGTCACACGACACCAGGTTATAGTCCAACAGGTTTATTTGAAATCACAAGCTTTCAGAGCGTTGCTCCTTCCCCCAAGTGCACTGGAACATCAATCTAGATTATGTGAAAACTTTGAACAAAGTTTGATTATCTTTTAAGGATGCACTTCCATCAGTACTTGGCACAAATAACTTGTCTGTTTTGATATAAAATTTAGCCAAATTTTATGTTTAAATGTCATGAAAAGATTTCAGGCTCATGAGTTGAATAAGCTTTGTCAGATACTTTGGGGACTGACTTTGAAGATTTAAACTATGTCTTTGATATTTACCTCCGTCTGCGTTCAGGATGATACAACACAGATGTAGGATATTCGATCAACAATGTCTGCTTCAGCTTGTTCAAAGAGCAATCCCTCTCTCTGCTTGTTTGTTAAAGCACTCATTATTTTCTTTTGCAAGATAACAAGTATAGTCTCTCAAATCTCACTATCCAAAAAACTGGCATTGTCTGAAACAGGAGTATTGTTTTTTGTCCAGGCTGAAATGAAATTTGTCCCACCAAACCCAGCTCAGAAAAGATCAAGGAACACAAGCCTCACAAAGTTGACAGTTCCAATGCTGCAATGAGCCCAATCCAATCCAACCCAACTGACACACACAGAAGCACCCATCTCAGTTTTTCTCCTGAAAACATTAAAGTTCTGAAATCCAGCATGGCCTCAGTCCAAGGCTGCTGGATTTGAGAGGGATCTTGATACACTTCTGAAATTAACCTTTGAATATGCTTCCACTATTCTCTTAAGCATTGATTTCCAAACTACAACTTTCAGTGAGAAATTATTTCTTCCCATCTTCCTCTGGTTCATTTGCCAATTAGCTTAAATCTGTGATTCCTGATTATCAGCCTTACAGCCATTGGAAACAGTTCTTCCTTATTAGCTCTATGAAAACACTTTTAACATTTAAAT